ACTTTGTTTAGGGATTAGAAAACCCTACGCTTTAATAAAAATTATTATTATTTTTTTAGGGGAAATACATTAAATGAAGGTATAGAACAGAAACTATCAATACCTTAACATTAAGCAAAAACTACATCACTATAAAGCTTAGAATAAATGTATATGTAATCATGGAGTACTTTATTACTATCTAATATTACATGCAATCACTTGTATATGATATTAGATTTTTAATAAATTTAAATTTTTTTTATCTATTTCATATTTGGAATGCAATGGGATACTTTCTGGTTTTAATAAATATCAATTTTCAGATGAATAACTTTGACAGAAATAAATAAAACTACAGCTGAAATTTTTATAAAGTAACATAAAACCTTAAGATGCAAGAAGTCATAATTAAAATAATATAATTAAAATAATAAGAAGTCCAAGAAAAAATAATAAGACAAAGTAAGACTACTCGAATAACGAATAAAATAAAAATGGTAATAACTGTCCGAACATACGACAATTCAAGCATAAACGAGCTACAACTGCCAATGTTTTGAAGTAAGTAAGATGGCCGACGGTTAATTTCGCGGTTAACATTGCCGAGCTTTCGGCTTCACGAATTTCTGCTTGTGTCTCCTCCATCTACTCCTAGCTCCATGCAATTAATTGTGTCCTCTTAGCTAGCCACATCGAAAACATCCAACAAAACGGTTTATTAGACTGTGATGGCCCTGGCTGTCTTGAAATGATCTAAAAGAATTATAATACTGTCATTCTAAGAACTAGTAACAATATCCTTTACAATGGATTTTTTTTATTTACTTTATACTCTTGGTCATAACGATGCAATATCTTTAAACTTAAAAGAAGGTGCGCTGCAGAAACATTTTTTAAACCAGTATTTTTCTCTTTTGCTCATAAATAACAACATGTAAAATAAAATGTAAAAATAATATTTTGAATTCCTTGCGAGAATTTCGGTAACTAACATAGAGTTGTGAAGTTGTCGGAAATAGCTCACTACAAGTAGCGAAACTACTGTAATAGATACTTTTTTTTTGTAGTTAGTAATGTAGTTGCGCTACTTTTAAAAAAAAGTAGTGCAGTGAGTAAGGCGATTAAAAAAACTGTAGTTTGTAGCAATTTCTGGCAACTACTTTTAACGTCAGTTAAATGTAGAAATAAGGTTAAAACACAACTAAATTTTCGAACTTGTTTGATCCGTCAAAGGGCAATTTTCGTGGATCCGAAACAACGAGAATGCTCGTGTGGCCAAGCGTTTATAAGTAGGGTATTACTAATATTTAAACTAGTCATTATGAATACTAGCCAATTTTGTCACTTTGACCACACCTTCAAAAGCGAATGGTCACTCATAAAACAATGATGTTATTTCAATCGAAGGGAATACATTTTTTTGTAATTTTCGATGCACTTTATTTCTTTAAGTAAATAAAAAAAAGCATTAACACGTTGAATGCCAAGGGGTCACCGGTAACCGGCGAAGCCAAGAATATTAAAAACACAAAATTCGAGTAAATTTTTAATGCTTTTAATTTTTTTATATTATTATCGTTACTAAAATGGCTTGAAGAAATTATTGCAATACAAACTGAGANACTTGTCGACGAAATGACCCTGTCGACGAAATGGTCTGTCGACGAAACAACCCTGTCGAGGAAATGGCCTGTCGACGAAATGACCTAGTCGATGAAATGGCCTGTCGATGAAGTGGTGTCGATGAAATGGCCTGTCGATGAAGTGATTGTCGATGAAATGAACCAGACCCGTTAAATACTTGTTTTTTAGGTATTTGATAATCTCCTTGCAATTTTTAAAATAAACATCTGTTATTGAGAAAGCATAAAAATTTGAAGGTTAAAAGAAAAATTCGTAAAAAATGGTTAAGAATAACAAAATGGCGCAAAACTTGAAGAAAAATTTCTTGATAATTCTTCTCGTTTAAATAGGCCAATTGTTTAAAACCGTTTTAAACATGGGTGTAAATTAAATTCCTCAGTAAAGTTCGTCTCCTAAAACTAGAGGAATAGTGACTAAATTTCAGAAGTCGTTTGTACTCACTAAATTTTAAAAAAGTAGCTGTAGTTAACCACATTTGTAATAAAGTAGTTGCAGTTGTAGTTAACTACAAATATAATGTATGTTTTTCTAACCATTGGAGTTATGTAATATGCAGAACAAACAAAATGACCCCCAGCTTAAAAAATCAACTAAAGACAAATGAAAGGAGATAGATATCTATGGTTTACGTTTCGCTTTAGAATCTAGAGAATTTATCCAAACCAAGTTTCAAGATTTGTTTTAAAGTTTGTAAACAGATGGCAATCAGATGCTAAATAAAAAAAAACTGTAAAACAAATGTTTTAAATCAGCCACCATTTGTAGCAACAAAATGGAGCAGTTAGAGACGAAATTAACAATAAATGCCCTTACAAATATTTCAGTTAGAATGTTCTGTTATGTAAAACACTGCTTTATAGTTTTCCAGTCATCAGCAGTACCACCATCTGTAGACAAATTTTGCAACTATTGAAATTTAATGATAAAAGTTTTGTTATTTTTTTAAAAAAGAAAGCGCAGAAAACAGTAAATTTCACTCTGCTTCGATTTTCCTATCACTGATTTTTCAAAGTCGGTCACTTTCAGGACACCCAAATTTAAATAATATTTATAAGGAAGTCATTTTTGTTAGCCTAATGTAGATAAAGCTGAATTGGAAAGGCACGTGGTAAATAACCTAGCGATTATCAATAATAATAGGGTCTATAAAGGACTTTAATTATGCTAGCAAGCTTGTAAATGACTTCAAAATTGAAAGGAGATAGAAGATTACCAATTTTGTAGCAAATGGCGAAGAAAAACGTAATACAGTAGAGAACCGATTATCCGGAATGATCGGGACCATCGCTATTCCGGATAACTGATTTTTCCGGTTTTCTGAATCGCTACAAAAAGCCGTTTTTTTATTGTTAAACCCAACTGGAAAAAAAATATTTGGAAATAATCTTAGAAAGAAGAAAAAGCGATGAAGTAATACACTAATGATTATTTCCAAAATGATGGTAAGGTAAACATTTTTCAAAAAAGAAAGAGAAATCTTAAGTCTCTCTTAATCTTAATCTCTTTAAATCTTATGAGGGAATTTTTTTTTTTTTTAAATGGCGGGAAAATTTATTGAATTTCGTTCCGGTTTTTTGATTTCCGGGTAACGGGTTGTGTACTGTAGTAACAAGTTTACTGCAAGGATGGGAAGAGGTAAAGTTTGAGTCCAGTGAGTTTAGCAAAAGCTGAAACAACTATAACTACCTCTCTCGGTCAATGGTTGTTTCTCTTGGCCACCGCGTTTTTCTTGTTTTGTTTTTAACCATTTTATTAATATTATTGTTCCACATACACAGGCAGACTTGTGTACTCATAACGAAGACCAGCCCTTGTTAAGACAGATAGCACAAATTAGAAAAGGACATTGTAAAGATACATCCAAGGTTATGGCAGGATTCGAACGCACTACCTCTATGTTACAGAAGGTTTCGTGGATCGCCAAGACCATTCAACCAAGGAGGCCCCCTTGTTTCCCACCTTTATTTTATTTTCTCTTTTTTAAGTGGCAATTTATTCTTACAAATGCATTTTGCTTTCCGTAATCAGGTCTGGTGACTCTTGAGAGTGGGTGCTTGTTTTTAAGAGTACGAATCACGTTAATAAATTTTCCCCTTAATTTTTGAAGCGAATGACGTTTTTCCATTATTCAAATTTATCTTTCGGCTTCAGATTTTTGGCATTATACATTTCAAAATTATCTCTTACCTTGCTTTCTTGTGGATTTTAGGCTAAATTTTTTATTTTCCTTTTCCTATTTTTTTTTTTTTTAAATCCACTTTTTGATGATAAAATATCGCTAACTATCACAATACCAATATCACAATTTGTATAACTTGTATTTCAAGCAAAAAAGTTTTCGAACCAAATTTTTTGTCATTTAAAATTATTATTTAAACGTTACTTTTAAGAATAATTTTCGATTTATGCTTATTACGTTTTTAGACACTATATTTTAGACTACCCAGCGATAAAAAAAAATCTCTGGAATCTCTGCAGCGAGAAACGAGAAGTAGTACTGAAACTTATCAATGGCTCTAATTAATATCTAAAACAGCATTCCTTTCTAAACAAATCAACCCTTGAGGTTTTTGATCACTTACAAAATCAACTTTATTAAATCACTATACAAAATAATATCCAACAACTGTAAGATATTTGGGTAGCCCCATTAGAGAGATTTAGCACTTCCACTTACCTTACGTTCACGTTATTACATTCCGCACTGCGCAATTACTACAGAACTATCGCGGTTTTATAGCTTGAGGAGAGCATTAGTATGCGAACGAGTTGAGATGCTAAGTTAAAGTACAAATCGCGATGTTAAATTTTAGTCATAACATCCTAAGAAATTATGAAATTTTAAAAAAAAAAAACCTTTATTAACTGTTAACTAAGGTCAAGAAAACTGAGATGGGCACAGTAGGCCTTGGCCCTCTAGGGCTGTCGCGCCGCTGAGTTTAACTGTTGATTTGTTGATTGAGTTCTTTTAGTACAAGTATATAAAATCACAACTGTTCAATTTATTGTTAGCATCGAAACTTTTTTTCCAATTAGCTTTAATAGTTGACTTCATTTCGCTCCCCCCCTCCATCCTCACAATTTGAATTCATTTTACCTTCATTGAATATTTTTTTAAATAGATAAATATTCAACGGGTGTCTATTGTAAATGAAGAGTTTTAGAAACTTAACGTAATACCCCGCACATTCAAGTACACAAGCTCTGTGTAAACTTTAAAGAGAGCTGAGCTCTTATTTTCGTAATATTTAAATAAAATAAGAGAGAGAGATAAGTAAAAACACAAGTATAATTATTTTCATTTCTTAAAATACAAATAAATAACAATAACAAAACAACAACATCAATTTACAATATTTTTTACAATGGGAATAAAGACAGAACTTCATAGCACAAAAGGAAAATTAACAAAATATTTATCCTACAATTAATCATTATTTAATTAACAAAGCATGTTTAAAATACCATTAATAAAAATTTTAATGTGATGAGGGTGATAAAAAAAATTATTTAAAAATCCAACTTCCTTTACAGAGCGCAGATTAGCGATAATTGCGTGAATGAAAAAAAAAAAAAAGTAAGGGCACTTTCTTAAGTCTGACTGCTTATAAAATAAAATAAAAATATAAATGTACTAAATATTTCTTATACGAAATTTAAATTGAATTTTAAATATTCAGCAATTTTACAACTAGCACTTTTTTTCCTTCTTTACTAATATTGCTAAGCTACATTTATTAAATAAAATGTTATTTATTAACTAATGTTATTTATTAAATGTTGTTTTATTAATTAAATTTAATTTAATTGTACAACACAGAATATACTTGTTTTTGATATGAAGTTCATTGAAATAGTCATAGAAGTTCATTTGATTTTTAAATGAACTACATTACAATAAAGTTCAGGTTAAGTACGTTTAAGTCTATTTAATTCAATTGAACTCAACACTCATTAAAGATTTTTGTAAATTTCACGGACTTATTCAACGTGCAACATTTCACTCATGAAATTAACTCAAACAATCTGTACCAAAGATGATTTTCAGTCATCAGTCTATCCCAGGAAAATGTAAAGCGGTTATGAAATTTAAAAATAAAAATTAACACGAAAAAACAAGATGGAGGCTACGAAATCCTTTAAAAAAAGAACAAATTAATTACTGAAAGACGACTTTTTTTTTTCTCAAAATAAATAAATATGCCAGAAAATAGTTCATACCGTAATACTATAAAAATTAAAAGTAAGAAGTACTAGTTGAAGGTCTTTCAGATGATTTAGAAGAGGTAATGTCTTTCAAAAGTTTCAAAACACCATACTGAAAATCTAAAATTTGTTCTGGTGTTAACTTGTTCAAGGTAGGCAACAAGCTATTCACAAAGGAAATGTGGGGGTTCGTGTTCTCCATTTTTTCCAACGCATTCAACAGTTTCAACTGAACTTCATCATAACTTCTTTTATTTCCAATCGGTACCAATTGAGTGGATTGTGGAGTGTCATCCAGTAGTGCATCATCAACAGTATCAATCCCGAGAATATATTCGTCTTTGTCTTCAATCGTTTCGTTTTCTGACTTTGACTCTTCAAACATAACTATACTATTGTCGACATCCGCCATGATGTCTTCTTCAACCAGACTTCTTTTTTCTTTCTTAAAATGGTATTTATATTCTGATGGGTCATAAAGTTTGTATAAAAACTGCAGCTGATCATGAAATACATACTTCCTCGGCTTCTTCTTGAACCTTACACCGTTTTGACTACGCATATTCGATGCTTCTTTCATCTCTCTAATTCTTCTTACAAAGTTGTCTTTTGTGTTCTTCCATCTTTTCATCACAGCTGAACCTTGAAGAAAAGAAATATGAATTAAAAAATCGAATTCCACCATCTAAAGGCCTGTTTACACGGTTCAAGTTCTTGAATCCGAGAAATTGGAGGGATTTCTCTGTCCAAGAAATTGGATGATTCGTCAACACTATCCAAGTTCTTGAGTGTCACTGATTGGTCAAAAGAAAAACTTGCGCATGCGCATTGCTCATATTCAACATTATAAAAAAATACTTACATAAGTTTAAAATTACTAAATAAATTCAAATAAAATCATAATAACACAAATAAACCGTAACAGATCAATTTATTTGGACTAAAATATATGAAAACAGACAACAAAATGACATAATCTGGTGCCTGCTTGTTGACGTCACAAAACCTAAGACGCTGATTGGTCAAGGGAAAAAAACTTGGATGGAAAGTAGAACATGCTCTACTATCGTCCAAGGACTTGGACCAAGTACTTGGATGATCGTTTATAAGATCCAAGCTCAAAGCAAAACAAGTTTCCTTCAACATCAATCTTCGTCCAAAAACTTGGATCGTCTAAACAGGCCTTAAAACCAATTGACGTTGTTATAATATTTTAGAATCACAGGACAGTGGCAAGAGTTATATAGAGCAGTGTTTTCGTAAAGGTATTCCGAGGAACCTAAGCATTCTATATGAAAGAGTTAAATAGTGGACTTAACTTTGGACTTTTAAAAACGGACTTTTTAAGCTTTTTTTTTTAATTTTTGAAATTGTAATTATGTTGGGATCTAATCAATAATCTATTATTTACTTAATACTTCGGTTGTCTTTATGAAGTTATTTAAAGCAAATTGCCAATAAAAAAAATGGCGATTTAAAAAAAAAATTATAATAATATTACTAATAACATTGTATTGAATTAAATATGAAAAGGGCGTGCATTTATAAAAAATTGCTTTATTTCGCATCGCGCTTTTCAAACAAAAATAATACTAATTAAGTTCGTCAATAAGATAATATGTGTTCTAATAACAATTTTCAAAGCAGCGGTTTTTTATGGCAGTTTTTTTAAGATTTTATTTAAACGAAAACCCTAAATCGGCTTATTTTATTCACTTTCAGCACATACATATACATCAAAAGCAAATCCAGTTCTAGACTACATTCAGCTCCAGGATAACGAATTCAACTGTGGGACATAAAACCTAATTGAAGATGATTAATGATTATTAATAAAGACTTAATTATTAATGATCAAACTATGAAAACATTTCATTTCTCTGATTAAATATTTTCAAAATAAAGCAGTCTTTTATTAGTTAATACGTACTAAACTATCTTCATATATTTTAGAAAATCGGGTTTCCGCTGAAAGAATGCTGATCATTTATGGTTACGTAGACGGGGAAAAAATTGAGAACAGCTAATATTGAGGATCTATGTAATAAAGCCAAGTGTTTCGCTGTTCGGAAAGATCTGCATTAGTTTAAATGAAAGTTTTTCGAAGATCATGGTAATTTTTAAGATCGCCATGCAGTTTTTTTAAGTTGCAAGTTAGAGATCAAAATTAAATACGAGCAACATGCATCTAGTAATCTGGGAACAAATATTGCTATTTGCCTTTAATTCAGTTAACACGTTGCAAAGAATAAGGTTATGATAAAATAAATAATTTTTAATATCATATCACCACAAAGTTTTAAAATAGCAAAATTCAAAGAAACCCCGTGAATTACGAAATAACTATTAAATAAAAGTACTCGTTCAGGAAAATTTTGTATTTACGAAATTGCTTCTCATCTGACATTTAATGTTAATTTTGCAAAATACAGTTTATAAAGTAAAAATTAAATTCGACTTAAATACAAAATTTTTTCCAAGAGAAAAAAATTTTAGTTTTTTTTTTAAAAAAAGGGTGCAACGCTGAATCGGTTAAACTAGATCTCCGTTACATGAAAAAAAACACCAGTTTGAAATTGTTTTACTGAGTGTTTACTTTATTGATATAAATTTCCTAGCTTATGTATCTGATAATAGGAACATAAAAGAAAATAAAGAATCTAAAAAAAAAATTTCTTTACATTAATACAACTTCCTTTTTAATTTAAAAATAATATTCTTTTCCTTTTACAACTCAATCTTTACGTTTTTCTTATTCATACCCTAGCAGCAAAATAACTTGGGCTCTCATTAGGCCAATATTCATGAATCTAATCTTGGCCCAGTAAGAAATCAAAGGGCCTTTATTTTTCCGACATTGGCCCTATATAGAATTTCCCAATTCAGTCGATACTTTATAGCCAATTTACAACCAATATCGGTCCTACATAGAATTATCAGATTTGTACGATATTTTATATCTATTCATTAGCCAATGTAGGCCCTATATAGGCCATTCTAGGACCAATGTTAAAAAATCTAGACATCCCAGTAATGGTTCATCGGTGCATGTTCTTATAGAATCCATATCGAGCCAATTTGGAACCCAACTAGGGCCAAGGTAAAATTGTTGTTTGGTTAGTTACACAAAAAATATGTAATTAGGGAAATTTCAAAACACAAAGTGTGCACTTCTCTGTTTACTATATACATCTAAGTGGGAAAAGAAAAAGAGTTTTACTAAATTTATTTAAAAAGTTTTAAAAGAGTTCAATATTGCTATACATACAGTGGCGGCCAGAAGTGTGGACACTTTTTGAAAGTTTCATGTTTTTCAACTTAGTGTGCTTGTAGAATATATTCATTTTCACTTAAATATAAACGTTTGTATATCAAATTGAAGGTAATTCAATGTAGAATTTAATAATAAATACTGTATTACAATATTTGTATTACAAAAAAAGTTATGCAATTAATAGTAAGATCTATCTTAGATTTGCGTTTTTTTAAAGTGATACTTACACAATCAATACTTAGTAGGATAATCCTTAATTTTTAAGACACCTTCACAGCGTCTATNTATATTCACCTTAATTATCAATAAAGTTGTTCCACTTTCGAGTAGACTTCCATGATGAAATGCAGACTTCCTCGTCCGATTCCGAACTCAAGAAAAAATTTACTTTTTTGTCCGTTCGCATAATTTGAAGGAATATTGTATAAATATTAATCGAAACTGTATCGATTACTGTATCCGACAAATTAAATGAGTTCAAATGTTGGGCGTGATATTACAAAAATTGTTTTCCTGTCATTATAATATAAATTTAAATTGAATTTAAAAACGGTCTTAAAGGTGATAGCCTAAGTTGAATAACCAATTTCTTTAAAATTGAAGTGTTTCTTTCTTTCCTTATTTTTTTTAATCACTTTTTATAAAAGAATAGTATCTAAGAATTCTAAAAATGGTTTCTAATTATCAAAGTATTAAAAGTAAGACAAGTTTTAAGGTTGGCTGAAAAAGCCAGAAGTGACATTTGAAATTTCATTACACCAGAAGTAAGCCTTAAATTTCAACTATCTTTTCCTTAAATTAACCTAAATTTTATGTATTTAATTACAAATCATCATAAAAATTAATCATTTACTGTACATAATCTATGAAAAGCAAAGTAGCATTAAATATAGAATAAAAAACGCAACATGCAGTCTTAATTAATATTTAATGCAGACTTTAAAGTTCGAGTAATCTCGCCAGTTTTGAAGTTGGAGAAAATTTAAATATTGCACCCAAAGGTATATTAATTACTAGCTGAATATCCATTATTGGTACGGGGTGAAAAAAAGCAATTAATCAATAGAATTCAACTCTATGAAATCGTGCACCAAACTGAAAGACATATACCGACAAAATTAATTAAGCTAAAGCAATTTCTTTTTATTTCCTCCTTCGTGGTAACTTTATGTCATCAGATGAAGCAAAATATTATTTTGAAAAGTTCATACCATCAAAATAGAGATTAATTATATTCAATAATGACTAGCATGATCCCATTGCTCGAAGTCAACTCCTGTTAGTCAAAAATTACCATAATCAACAATTTTCACCAGCACTTATCCCCTTCGGTAAGCCATAAAAATGATTTATTTCCGAAGTACCTGCAGTAGGTATCTTGGTATCAATATTAATATATTTGGTACCTATTAAAAACCCAATTAATATAATACTGATAGTACTAAGATTAATTAAGCATCAATGACGTCAATAATAATAAAGCGATATTTTATAGTCTTTTTTTAAGTGAATTAGTTTAGCGTTTGAGCACAAAACCTATTTTTTTAAATTTCAATTCGTAGCCTTTACCATGGGTGCTTTTACCAAACATCAAAAGTGTCAATAACAACATGGCAATTTTTTACGATTCTCATATGCTAGTATCATTTCTCCATTAATTTAACCTTTTAATAAAAAACTTATTTTTTTATTTCAATTTGTACCAATTACCAAAATATGTATTAATTGTAATTCGCAAAAATAATTAGTAACGACATTAACATTTTTATAATATTTTCTAACGTCGTATTTATTTCAAATGCCGTAAAAAATCGCAAAACTATCATTCACACCAGATATTTAATTTAAATGTGGTATTATAAATACTACTGCTTGTAGGTGCTTCGGTAATGAGTACCTATTATATCAATATAGGTGCATAATATAGTTTCTGCGATAATAGTTTTCTTTACCGCCCTCCGAACCGAAAAAGTAGCCAAATAGCATCATACTACACATTCATGACACCTAATAACTTTTTTTGTATATTCCGGTCCAGCTTCATGCTATTAGCTTGAAGCTGGTCAAACAATATGAGTTTGATGTTCAACTCACTAAAAGAAAGATTAACAATACATATTGTAACATTTAACTTGATAAATTCAAAATTTACCCCAATTTTCCCAAAGGCTTAATAACTTTATTTTTTTATTTTCCATCATTTAAATTTTTAGACGTCTAAAAGCATAAGTAATAATATAAAAAACACATGGTTTCATAGTAATGATTCGGTGAGATCACCATACCTAGTGAAAATTATTAACGTCGATTTTCCCAGCCGTGGTCAAGTTCCTAGCAAGCATAGGAAACCATAGATAAATAAGTACTTTATTAAAACATTCGGTGAAACTTATTTTTGATTGATTAGAGCTGCAAGCTAGAAAATCACTGACATTATAAAATGCTATTTTATTTTGTAACAGGCGTTGCACAGTCGAACCAATTCTGAGTTTACGATTATCACTTTTGAACCCAACCTAGAAGACAAGGGAACTCCTGGATCAAGAATTGGTATAAACTAGCCTCCGAAGAGGACTTATAAATAATAGGATAGAAGTAACCTGAAAATGCGTTACATGGCGAGGGAAACCACAAAAACCTCCCACGGCTAGCCGGATGGCAAGGTGAATCTAACCCATGATCCGTCTAGCACTGAGGATACTTTACGTCAGCACTGTGGTCGCTTCGAGACGGAAGTAGAATTCGTACTAATCGTTGATCGGAGGTAGTTTCAGAGTAGACAATTAGGTCCGTCATATCTTCGAACACATATACAACAAATTTGGTGCCGTTCGAGCCAGAATTGCGGATTTGTATAAAGTACATTCACACATACTTGCAGATATTCTGGTTTATTTATATAAATTCTTATTTTTTGTCATCCTTGAAATCTGATTAGTAAATTTAGCCTAATTAAATAATTGCGATTAGTTAGAAAATTGTGTAGTGACGCGTTAGTATAGAAAATTATCTGCAATGATTAATTTGTAATTATTAGAACAATAATTAAATAAAGCAATATAACTATACCTTAAAATATAAATAATAGGATTATACAATACTGCAATAAGTAAATCACCAAAATAGAATTTATTTGAAATTATAACAGTTATGTAGCATAGATTATTAATAAATAAATTTCTTAAAAACCAATCCTTTCAAAATTGTGAAGTTGACACTTATTTAAAAGAATAATATAATTAGCTACGCGAGAATATTGAATTTCCGGCTAATTAAATTAAAAAATAATCCTTGATATTATTTACAGAATAATTTTGCAGCTTGAAAGATAATTTAAATTTTAAAAAAATATATGTAAATAAAGCGCACATTTAAAGATTTTGATTTAAAATATTTTTAGTAAGAAATAACTGTAAGAAAAATCATGCAACTTGTTTATTGTTTTAATAATTCCTAAGTTGTCAATTATTTTGAACAAAAAAAAATAATATTTTTAAAAACCACGTTGTTGTAGTGGAGAATAATAATTAAAAAATAAAAATTTGAAAAACGAAAAACGTGGGGCGTCTGAAATACATAACAGTAATGTTATATTAGTGTGTGCTCATGAGAAAATGTGTATGTATATCTGTAATTGTATCTAAATGTGGATCTGGAATATGTTTGTGTATATGCATGTGTATGAGTAAGAAAATGTGTATATGTATGCGTATATATGTACTGTTATGTATTTCATGCACCCCACGTTTTTCGTTTTTCAAATTTTTATTCTTTAATTATTATTCTCCACTACAAAAACATGGTTCTTAAAAATAGTATTATTTTTTTTTTAACGTGAAAAATTTACAATTATGAAATTNGTACTCACTTCCAAAATCTAAATTTTTTCACTCACTGTACACAAAACTTTTCAACTGACATGTGACACTAATTTGAAATAATCGAATCGACAACAAAAAGACAATCGCAAAAATATTAATTTTTCTTCAATTTTATTTTACTTTGTATGTCTTCTTTCTCTTCATTCATTGTCATCCAATTCTGAACTATGTGCCAAATTTGAAGTCTGTAGCTAGTCGGGAAGTTAGTTTAAAATCGATTACAAAATTCCACCCGAACAGACATACACGAAGGCAAGTTAATATAAACGTGGTAAAATTGAGAAACGCAAAATAAATAAGTATAATAGCATTTTGCCAGCAACGAAAACTGAAATAAGTGTGACAAAAATAAAAGAAAGTTTTTTTTTTTTTTTTTTNGAAAAAATGCAATCTATTAAAGTTTTTTTTTTTTTTTTTTCATTTTAGATTTATTTTATCTATTTTTGAAAATGTTGATTCAAAAAAATAATGGAAACATTCTCTGTCATTTACATTTCAATACATTTAACAAAATTTTTGGTGTGCTTTAAAATTATTAATCACTACTTTATTCGAATCAAATTTTCCGCTGAAAATTATCTTTCAAAATGAAACCACAACATGAAACGATAACTCACCAAATTCACGTTTCTCTATAACAGGTAGAGATTCAAAATCTGGATTCAGCAGTCGGAATACTTCATTCCAAGCTTCAATTGTCACTGTCTTCAACTTATATTCTTCCAAAGTTCTATCCCATAGACAGGGTCTTTCTTCAATTAATCGAATCAAAAGTTCAGTATCGATTTCAACTTCCATACTGGTTATTCAATAATATAGTATAAGTCGAGAGCACAAGCCAAAATATGGCTGCAATGGCGACTGAAAAACCGGTCTTCGTTCCGGCAGGGTGATAAAGCCTGACGTCAAAACAACGTGCGGTCGATATTTGTGACTCACCAACACAGCTGCAGCATGGGGCTACGTCACTGGAGAACAACCGCATGCTGTTACGAACGACGCCATGTTTCGAATATTTTCCTCCTTGGCGCGTTTTTTTCTACACACTTGCGGCTGCGGGTGAAGGAGTGTTTTTCATTCGCGTGTTGTGTTTTCATCTTCATAGTTAGAAAATGTGTATTTTGTTTTCTCACGTCGATTTAGAATATCCGAAAATTAGAAATGTCTAATTGTATTGTGTATTTTGTTTTATCACGCCGGTTTAGAATATCCGAAAATTAGAAATGTCTAATTGAACTGTGTATTTTGTTTTATCACGCCGATGTAGAATATCCGAAAATTAGAAAAGTCTAATTGAATTATGTATTATGTTTTATTACACCGATTTAGAAATTGAAGAATATTTTAAATATTAGGAATGTCTAATTTAAATTTATTTAATACTTTGTAGTCGAAAACTGTAGTAATTAAACAGTCCAATCTTTAAAACTAGACAGAAGGAGGAAAACAAGAGCGAGCAATTGTGTCGTTCCTAATTTTTCTTGTAATTTTTGCTTCCCCTAGGATTAATAATCAAATGGGGGAGGTAGTCTTGAAAGGAGTGAGTGAAATTGATGTACGCTATCAGGGATGGGGCTGAGGAAAGGGCAAGGGAGCCTGATCTACCTTACAGCAACATTCACAGGCGTTTTCTAAAGGAATAAAAAATACTAAAAATTTATTATAAAAAGAATGAAATTATTGCATTAAGTCCAACCATATCCTCGTTAGCGATATTCATCGTGTTACAACTCTGCTCCCAAATGCTTTTGCCCTGATTCCACATTTTATACAAACTTAAAACTAATTAATTAAAAATAATACGGTTGCTACTCCACGGGGAAAACCTGGAAAATACAGGGAAATTTAATTTTTTTACAAGCTGGGAAAAAAAAACAGTAAATTTTATTTCGTATTTTTATCTTTCAGAAAATGCAAGTCTCTCAAAGCGTAATCTATGGGATATTTAAAGATGATAGTTCATTTATATTATATTATTTCATTTATTATAGCGTTATTTATTTTATGTTGAGCTGATGCTTATTTCTCTAAATTTTTCTAGCCACTAAAACTGGCATCATTATCCTAATATAGCTCACAAGAGCACTATAGAAGTGTATTTTCTTTAAATATATTGTGTATAATTCGTGCATGAAAAACGCATGGAATTTTTTTTCTTCCAGATATGAGTGACAACACTGAATAATGTTTTTCTGTTAAATTAATAAAGTGATTTGCGGAGCTCCAGAATTAGGGAAGGAGATGTCTGATTTTTAAATTCTTTTTTTTTTTACTTTAAATAAAAGTAAATTTTAAATCTGCATTTTCTGACAATATATATTTTTTATCAACTTTTAACTATGCTTTGTAAAACATAAGAGAGCGGAAAATATAAAATTTTATTCACATTTCGAATCATGTTTCCAAAATAAATAGCGCAAATCCAGATAATTTTTGTTCAAAATTATAAATCTTTTTATCTGAGCCGTGATGGCTCAGGGGATAGAGCGCTCGCCTTCCAATGAGGAGAACCGGGTTTGAATCCCAGTCGATACGAATTCCGCATCCGGCTTGCACCGACCACAGTGCTGGCGCGAAATATCCTCAGTGGTAGACGGATCATGGGTTAAAGTCCCCTTGCTGTCAGGCTAACCGTGGGAGGTTCTCGTGGTCTTCCTCTACATGTATCAAAAATGCGAGTTAGTTCTATGAAAAAGTCCTCCACGAAGGCAAATTTTTCCCAATACTTGATCCAGGAGTTCCCTTGTCTTCTGGATTGGGTTCAATATTACAAGTTGTTGAACATTAGTTGTCGTGAACCCAAAAATTGGGTCGGCTGTTAACTGACGGTTATAAAAAAATAAAAAATCTTCTTATCTACATAAATCTCATAATATTCCAACTTTCACTATAGCCTCCCTTTGTAAATTCGAGAAACAAGAACTAAAAAAAAATTTTCACCTTTATATTTCGTCATTGTCTCTTATGGCGTAGCTCACCGCAAGTATAACAATTACTTGAATGTTTATGGTCAACTGTCAAAAAAACAAAAAATGCCAGGTTTATGACCATCCAAATATGCAAGATCTGGTAACATGACCAACTTATAAGAGAAATTATGCCTATAAGAAATGAAATAGTTAAATTATGCTGTTATGACAGATAATAGGTAACAGAAAATAAAGAAGATTTATTTCTGAACAGTTCTTTTACCTGTTGTTTAGTTCATTTCAAAGGTCCTTTCCCCCCTTATTTCTTCGTATATTTTTATTTGTATATACTATTTATCGTTTCTTTGTTTTTAATGATTTTTATCTGTCTGTCGTATGTTGCTAGGCAAATATTATTAACTCTTTTATTTCTTTAATGTTTTACTGCTTGTCAAAATAGATCACAGTGTTCTACCCTCGAGTTTGAAAATTTCCCTAAAACGCTTTCTTTTGCTATATAAGTTGATTATATTGTTAAAAAAAATTAAATCATGAAAGCAAACATTTAAAAAAAATGGTCCAAAATTATGAAATCAATAGTAATTTTATAACTTTAATATTTTGCATCAATAGAAGTGTAAGTAAAATTGTTAGTTTTCTATTTTTAGCGAAACACGCAATCTTATAATTTTCATTAATTGACAGATGGATCATTATATCTTTTCAGAATGTTTCCGTTACTTAAGAAAAAATACGACTTCTTTTCTAAGAACTCTAAAATCTTTCATACTTAACCATATAAAATGTTGCAAAATATGCCACATTTTTTATTTATTACAATCATATGATTTTTCATTTTCCTGTGTTGTAATACAACTCGCTAAATAAAAATTAAAAAAAACACTTCAATAAATCTGAAGCAATTTCTGCGAAAGATATTCTTAAATTAGGAAAAAGTTTTAAACACTGATTCTAGATAAACATCATCAAACAGTTTCAATTTATGATCAGTAATTTCCACTGCATGGTTCTGGTTACAGTTTATTACATCCATGTTTATTATTTTTCGTACTTCCCAGTTAGATAAAAGCCCACTCATTAGAAATAATGTTATAATTTATCATCGGATTTAAATTGTCTGTTACTTCTTTAAGAATCAAAAATAAGATAAAATAAAAAATAACAATTTGAATCTTAAAAATGTAAAAATCTCAATCTCATCAATCCTGGTATGCAAAACGAAGGGGGGAGGGGCGTGCATTTTCAATTTTTCCAAAATCTGTTCTAATTTTTGCTTTGATCAAATATTTATTTTGTACATTAGTTGAGACTAAAAAGTGAAATCAGTTTTTTTAAAACCGCATGATTTTATATTTTAAAGTGATGTAACTAATAAATCATTTACAATGATAATTAGCTTATTCAGTTACATATGTTTTCTTAAGATCATATGTTTCATCCTCAGGGGTGCTTCCCAGACCGTCGCCAATAGCCCATCGTGCAGCTCTAGTGTGACGTAAATTAACTACAACAACAGCAATAAGAAATTATGAGAATGTGTAATTCACTCCATGCGGTGAATCATAGAATTAAGTATTCCCGGAGTAAACAACAACATTTCTCCAGCGAGATGAATAAATTGAGCAGGATATGCCAAATTTCATTTCCTCCCAAAACCCCTTCCATTTGCCAACCAGCATAGACTTTCCTGTCTCAACAGTTTGTGTGGGGTCGGGCAACTGCTGTTGGTACCCCATATTTCCTTCCTTGAAATCCATTATTTTTTTTTATTGCCCTCTACCCCTGGGTGGGTAATATCCTCAGAATGCTGCCCTACCACTGCTTTATATTATCATAGCTTACAAAGGAAGGGGGTCTGCAATGGATATAATATATTAGAAACACACGCGCGACCTTGAAAATGTATTTTCCCCCGTTGACAGAGGCAAAAACTAAAGGGTGAGTTTATGATCTAGTGACCTACAAAAACCCTTCTTCTCTAAATATTTTTGAGCCCTAAAAGGGTAAAAATGAGAAAAAAGTGTATAGTAGTGTACGTTTTTGTACTAATTTTATACTTCATGACGTACAATCTTCATTTGCTTCAAAAAATATGAAGATGTTAATGAAAGTTGACGCGTAAATATTGTCATCCTCATACGTTTTAAAGCAAATGAAGTTTTTATCTCATCAAGCTAAAGCATATCCTTCAGCTACAGTTTTTTTTTTGGGACTTTTCATTATATTATATTTATTTGTGTTTGATAAGTACTGAGGATCAAAATTAATTGCAATGTTCGTTAAGACAGTGAACTGAAAAAACAGTATCAAATTGAAAAAATAATTTAAAAAAATAAATAATAATAAAAATTAAAATAAAAAGTGTATAGCTATAGAAAAGGCCACATTACAAAATCCACCACTTTAACAATTATATAAATTTTATTCGGGTGATAGATTTACTTAAATCTTTATTATAATGTAATTAAATATTATTAAATTAGATATTTTTTTAAAAATTAAAAAAACAAGGATTAAAATAAAGTTTTGCACTTAATATTATTTAACTAGGACTCTTCAGAAGAGCTTCGTTTCTTATTTCCAATAATAACGCTAATTGTATTATAATAAAATAATGTACAAATAATACGTTTTTAATATTTTTTTTAATGTATTAAAATGAAACATTTCATAACTTTTGTTCATATTTTTAATTTATTACAAGATTAACCCCTAGAGACAATTGCTATATAAAGTAATTGTATTACTTGCGATTAAAAAGTATTTATGACATGAAAATTTTCTTGCCTCAAATTGCAGTTTAAACATTACATATTGATTACGTTTTTTTCAAAAAAAGTGACTAACTACAGTCGAATAAATAATTAATTAGATTAAATTCGTACTCAATGATCCGAATCAAATCTGTCGTTAAATCATTAAATTCATAAAAAAAAAGAGCCCCCGTAAAAATATAAATGTATTTGTAAAAAAGGTCCCCTCCCCCCCCTCCCCCCGCCAAAAAAAAAGCTCTTTAAGATTGAAAAACTGCAGCCGAATTTAATGTTATTGAATAGAATGAATATTTATTTTTAAAAAAATTTTTTTTTTTAAGAAAAATAGTATGGAATTAATTTAACAAAGATCTTAATTCCATATGAGATTAACATTAATTGAAATATAATGACCAAGCCCACTCTCCTTTAATCTGATCTTTCTTGAGATTTATTAAAATGCATTGAAAACGAATAAATTGATCTTACTGAATTCTATAAAATAATTGTCAACAAAAATATGAAGTAAGAATAGTTATTTTAAAATGTCTTTCTTAATAGTGTAGTAAAAATAAAGCTTTAATATAATATCTAAAAAATAAAGTTCTACATCAGTGACAAAATGTTCAGTAACCTCATCTCAGTAAGTGGTAAAATGTTTCACGACCTAGCAAATCGGGTTTTAACGGGGAAAGGGGTCAAGAAGCTTAACCTCCTCATTACCCCGCGTTCGCTTCTTAGTTCCTAAAAAAACACTATACGAAAATTTATAGTCTTACCTTCTCAGAAATATTTGTGGATATTTAAGTCTCGTAGGATTACGCTGATTCGAATTTTGTTGAATTGAATGACCCCAAATTCAAGACGAGTTATGGAGAAATAGTATAGAAAAAAATAATAATAAACAAAAATAAAATAAAACAAAAATAAATAAATGAATAAATAAAGGAATTGAAAATAAAATAAAATAAAACTGACATTCAGAAGATCTGTTTCAAAATTTAGCCATTCATTAAAAAATAATTGCAGCTAAATCGAATTTCGTTTCGCATGAGCAAAATTTATTCGCAAAAGCAAATTAAAAAGAGTTAAGAGTTTTTTAGTTTTTTACCCTTTTAAAATTCGTTTGTGCGGCATTTTATTTGTTTATTCATTTTATTAAAAATGTAGAACAGAAATTTTCTATTTGAAAGACCCTAAAATTACTACTTGTGAGAAAATTGTTGAGGTTTCTTATGATTCCTGGAAAGTTGTATTCTAAACCAAACCGGTACCGGGTTCTTTACCTTTCGAACAAAAGAATATAAGAGTATATTTACCACGAAATGTCGAGACGGCGTCTGCAAACCAAAATATTTATTACCTGTACCGCTCTTAGAAAGCCAGGTAATTTTCATGCCAGATTCAGCTTATTTTAAAAGTCTTTTTTTTATCATCTATTTATTTCTAAGAAATGAATCAAAGGTTAGAGTTCTGTAACTTGTGCTCTGAAAGAATTGTTTTGCCATTTGCTGAAGGTTCTCAAAACATTTTTATATTTTATACGCTCTTTTATTATGCAATGACTTCGCGAAATTATGCCCAAAAAATGCTTGGCTGGCTTGAATATGATAATATAAAGCTCAGAAGCTTTTATTTCTTGCGGAGGGGAATTAATTTTGATGAGTTAAACGAAATTCGGAGTGTGCGATGCGTCTGAAATGTAAACAATATCGTATATGAGTTTTAGTTAAGTGTCTGTCAAGCATGAAATTGAAATTTGAGTGATAAATCTAGATAAGTCTAGTTCAAATGTAATAATGAGAAAAAGAACTTATAGTAGCAAAGAAAAAATAATAATAATTTTACTTTTGTATATTTCCAGACTTTATTTTCTTGATTTTAGTGAGTTGAAAGAACTTCTAAATAGACGAGTTTTTTTCTCGCCTAATAAAAGAAAGTTAGATGAGTTTTTTCTCTATTTCAGATGATATTGCGAATTTTAAAATTCTATTTTATAACTGCGCTTTTTTTTCTTTCTTATAATATGACATAACATGACTTGACAAACATTTTATTTTTATTAAGAACTATGCTTTTTTATAGTGGTAGTCAAAAGGTTATTTGGTTGATCCCTTTATTTGTGTTGGGTATTGTAGGTTCGATTTCAACATTAAAGAAACGGCTTTTTACAGATAATTAGCCAAGTTCAGTAAGGTATTAGTTACTCTACCAATTTTTCTGTTCTTAATTCTGCAAGATCAAGAATCTTGAGAATGTGACGGGTATATATTTATAATGTGGCGGGTATATAATTAAAGAATATCCAAATTGAAAGTTAAAGTTACATTTTATTTATTACTAATCATTATACATATCAATAAGGAGAAGGAGGACCACACTTACCCATAGCTGCTCGTATTGAGAGGCAATCGGACTGAGGAGACTATTGAGAGGCAAATTCTCTTTCTGACCAACTCCTCTTTTTTTGGAGTTTATTTATATATATTATTTTAAGGGGTTAAACGTGGTCTCGTGTTCTTATCATGCATCCGAAGGTCGACAAATCAATCATCTTGTGACAAATTTCTAGAAAGTTAAAAGTTCAACTGACCATTCGATTGCGAGATGAGAGCACGGGATCTTAATCAACTGTTTAATTAACAAGTTTGACCACGAGAATTGTCACGAGGCAACGTCGTGACAAGAACATTCTTCAAACATCTTTTTTTACCAGCACATTTCTTCTGATTTTGATTTGCAGTTTTATGCATGAGGAAATTCTTATTTGTTTCTTCGTAAATGCATTTTTTTAAAAATTTATTTAATGAATAACTATATTTCTAAATTAAATTTTTTGGTGCATCAAATACAAGTCTATTAGGACTCGAGAAGCTAAACATTTAAGATTATTAGCTTTTTAAACATCATTTGATTTTAATTTTAATTGGTCATGCATTTCCTACTAAGGATGAATATTCTAAAAAGGAAATAGTTGGGTCAAATTTGAATTATTTTGGAATTTATTTTAAGAAATAGGGATTGAGATAGTTTATAAATTATAATCATGTAAAAATATTTACAACTGTATGTGAAAGGAGGTAAAAAGTGTAAATTAATATCTTACTAATTCAACCACATATTGAGACGGCCCAAGTTCGAATTGTAGCGATGGTTGGTATTATACTGGTTCCTGTTCCCACAAATTACAGAGCTGACCTAAGCAGATTTCGGGTAAGATGTTACTCCTTTGTCGTCAGGCTAACCATAGGTGGTTTTCCTTTCCCAAAAATGCAAATACAGGTTGGTTACGTCAAAAAGTCCTTTATGATGGCGAGTTTGTTCCAATGTTTTATTCGAGAAGATTGAGCTTAATTTTCTCTGTTCTATTAGATTCGATGCAAAATTACAAGAAATGAACATTGGTAGCGGTAAATCTGAAAAGGATTAAATATTCAACGGCGATGATAAAATCAAATCAGATGAAATATTTTTTTGTAGCCAATTCTTTTACTAAATGATTTTTACCGTATTTTAATCTTTCTTGCAATTGTTCTTGTTTTCCAGTGGCGCCATTTATGGCCAAGAATTCGACTTCTGCCACACCCATACGTCACACCCGTTTATAGGGCGGGCCCATTCATACATTCATGGATCGTAATTTTGACCTGAATCAGAGAACGATCAATCTCCAATCCAGTACCCCCAGAGGTATTGATTTATTGTTATGGGAACATGGAAGATTTTGCGATTCGACAAATTTAACGTGCATCAGTCACCATTTACTGCACGGGGAGTCTTCGGCCGGAGGGGAACTCTCGGTCATGGGCCCAGCGCCCTACCGACCAGGCTATCCGGGCCACCTAAGTAATATATTTATTATATATTACTGATGACCCCTTAAAATTAAGGGCCTTGGGAAAGTGCCCTTTCTGTTCATGTTATAATCAGGCATTTAGTATCAAGAAAGTAATAGTTCACAATTTACACATTTATTTATTTGTTTTAAAGCAGAGTATAAAAAGCTAAATGTAAGCAATGCACGTTAATGATACAATAAGTAATACAAGTTTCATTTGGTTTAAAAAGTATAACGAAATGTACCTATAAAAAAATTCTAAATTATAATTTCCCACGCGTCTATAAAAAAAGTGTCAACACTACCCCCTCCCTTTTTAATCAGTTTTACTGAAGAGCAAATAATCTTATCGAACGCTATCCGATTTTTCAAGTTGTTGTGTACACACAGTACACCTATTGTGAATCAGTGAATTCGAGAGACTTGATGTTTATAAACTGATTAAGTACTGTGGAGAAAATAACCTTCAAAGGAAAGTAGTTAATCAGTAGACGAGATATCAGACACAGAATCTCAACTGCGTATCTTAACCTCGAGATGCATTCGAAACCTGAATAAACAAATCAGATTTGCTTATTTGATTTTGGTTTGATGTAGAAGATGATGATGATGAAATCCCAGTTTTGACTCGAAATAAAAATTATATTCGAAGAATCGTGACATTAAATTGAAACATGAGTGCATAACTTTCCCTTGTTGTAGGCCTAATAATTACGTGGATTGTAGGCCTAATAATTGCGTGTGACAATAGCAAAAATTATGTCGAGCGAAATGAAATTTCTGCGTACAAACTAGATTCCATCAAAGTAAAAATACATTGTATGTAAATTTAGCTATCTTAATCTCCTTGACTATGACTTAGTATCCAACGTATTCTTATAACAAAGTTGACGTTGATGCCAATGTAGAAAACAGCTCTGATAAACATAAAAATTTGTTGCGAATTTTATAAATGCAAAAGTCCATTGTTACTGGCAAATCACGTGGAATTTCTGCGTAAAAATACAGGAGTAATACAGTTTGAAAATTTATATTCTGTTAGAAAGTTTGCCTATTGCATCTAGTATCGAATCGATCATTTAATGTTTGTTTAAGAAAAGAACATTGAGAATAAACAAATCGAAAATTTAGCCCAGATTCCTAAATGACTTCTTAAATAAAATTTTTTTTGTTTCGTTGGCTACTAATTTATAAGCTTTAAACCTTCAGATTTAAACGGAAATTTTCTGATTAAACGGTTTTTGTAGGGATGAACATTTATAAGAAGTAAATTACAATTAGTATTTTGTGTTATTTTTGGTGAGTAAAACATGCTATGCAGAAAAGGATATAATATTTGGATCCGCAGATACGTTTCGTTTTGAATGTATTCAACTATAACGCTTTTATTTCAAGTATTTACTATTACTTTATAACTCATTTTTAGTGTTTTACTTTGCAGTAGATTAAAATATTGGTTTTTATGTATATATTCAACATTTACTAAAGAAACTAGAGTCGTCACTTTTACTGTAGAACCTAGAACACCCGGAATCAGAAAAATCTCAAACATCCTAGGAGGTTCCATAGCACAAACAAGAACAGGTTCTTCACCCTAAAATGCCCCCCACTTTCGGTTGCTTCTAGAGGTGAATCAAAAACGATTAATTTGACACGCTCCCCCTAAAAATAAAAAGAATTTGCGTGCGTCAAAGGTCAAAAGAAGTTCCAGGAAAAATTATGCTTGACCTCCTTTTCTTATTGTTCTTCTAAGAGTTATGGGAAGTCATACACCTTGCTTTGCACCTTACATCACGAGAGACATGTTTTTTTCGCGTAAGAAAAAAATTTGATCGCATTTTTAGTTTTATACGATAGGTGATTCAGATAAATTCTAAGGAGGCTAAATAAGTGATATAATAATTTAATTTCCATCAAAAAATTGCTTCATCAAGAAGATATCACCTAGAAATACAGAGGAAGAGTGAAAAAAAAATTTCTTTGGGCTTCTTAAAAAGCTAGACTTTTTGTATTAGAGTTGTCCTTACATATTTACTCTTAATTTTTTGAATTTAAATTCATATTTTATTTATTTATTTCTTGCTGCACATGTAGTTGTTGTAGTTCATTTACGTTGCTCTAGAGCTGCACAATGGACTATTGGCGACGTTCTGGGAAACATCCCTGAGGATGATCCGAAGACAAGCCATCACAATTTTGATAATCTACAGAGGGAATGGAACCCCCGCTTCGGTAGTCCGACGACCTGCACGCGAAGTCGAGTACTTTACGGTAGAACAGTTTAACGAGGGCCAATACCCCACACCCTCGGTCCCTACTCAGACTGATCCAAGTGGTCACCCACCCGCACACTGACCGCAGCCAGTGATGCTTGACTTCGGTGATCTGCTGGGAACCGTGTCTTAACGATCAGTCCACTGCGGGACTTGGCTGCACATGTAAACACCGTTTGTATGCTCATTATAAAAGCATCTTATAAGCCTTTGGAACAGATAGCACAAATTAGGGAAGGACAAAGTAAAGTCGTGCTGCAACCGTTAGAGCACAAAGCTGGATTCGAGAACGCGTTTGGCGTGGAGGTAGTCTTAATTGAATTAATGCTTTATTAATTTTATTCTAAAGAACAAAATACCGGAATGAAAAACTTACAAATCCACCATTTTAGTTTTTTTAGAAAGTTATATCACAATTTTATAATATAATGCTCACGTGCAAAATACGAATACAGAGTTTTCTTGTACCATAACATGCGAAGATAATTGTCTTAATTGTGGTGCATAATCACATCATTCCAAAGAGCTTCTTAAATTCCAAAGAATAAGTATCATTCCGTTGAGCAACATACTCAACGGAAAATTTACAAACCCGTCATTTTAAATTCGTAGAAAGTAATATCGTAACTTAATCGGAAGTACACGTAGGAGACAGAAAGTGAGATTTCGAGGATGACATAGTGTGGGAGCTGCATCTCACGTGGGAGTCGTACTTCGTACTTTCACTGCCCAACTTTTAAAATGAGTAAGAATGTGGTAATTTAACTTTTGTTGTAAGGTTAGTGATAAAATTTTAAAAAATTTTATAACTCTGAAACTTTTAATTCTTACATCTATACAATTTATGATTAATAATTTAAACTGTTTTCCTTGTTTCATTCAACACGAAGATAAATATAGTTCGAAGAAAAAAAAATTCACCTTTCTCTTCCTGTTGGTTTGTTGCACATTTACGAATTATTTTTTTCCTAATGTTACGACTTCTCATTCTAGTACCAAAAACACTCTAATATGATATCACTTTTTAAGAGATATCTTTCTTCGCCATGGTTAAAAACTAAATTTTTGATTATCATCTTCTTATTTTTTTAAAATTTATTTATTTATTTTTTGTTCTAAATAAACTTTTGAATTTCATTTTCTCTCTATTTTTTTTTCTGTTCTAAACAACTTCGATTTTATTTCATTTACTTATTTATTTAATATTTTTTGGACAGTAGGATTAAAAATAAAACGTTACTTTATGAGTAGATTACCGGAAATAAGTCTTGATAATTTTTAGAACTTTTATGGTTTTTTTAATATAGTATTGATAATAATAAGATATTTTTTTTAAACTAGTTTAGTAATGTACACTTTTCCCTACTTATATCTTTTAAAATTTAATTTTATCACTGTCTAAATTGACGAAAACTGATTTGGATGATGCTGAAAAATTCTTCTAACGCAAATTATGAAGAAAAAAAAAAAAAGATCTTGACAATAATTCCTGAAACATTCTTATGCGTAATACTAAATTACCTTTCAGAAAATGTTGTTTATAGTATTGTATTGGTACAATTTCGTCAGGAAAAAAAAAAAATCAGA